CATATTCCTGGAAGAGATTGCATAGATGATCCGCTTTACCGGCACTGGGACTCGGCCCGCCGGGACCGGACAGGATGCTATCCGCTGCAAAGGGGCGGGCCGGCACCGCGACCAGAACCGCCACCAAAACCAGACCAGCAGGACAGACGTGGACCGGGACCAGGACCGGGACTGCCGGGACAAGAGACCGGGCCGACACGACGCTCGTCAGCCCGTTGCAGGGGGACGGGCAGCCGCGACCCCGCGCAGACACGGACTGGCGTTACAGCAGGCCACAGCGCGCAACCACCGCACGTACCCTGAACTTTTGCGGGGCAGGTGAGGTGCCGCTTGGTCGTGCTCAGCATGGGGGTCGACGGACGGATCAATAGCGGAGCATCCGCGTTCCTGGCTGGCTCGGGCTATAGGGCCAACCATGGGAGGCGGAAACCACCAGACGGGCGTTGCACAAACGGTGGATGGCGCTCGCTTCTTTCGCCGGCCCGCTAGCGCACGCCAGCACGCTACTGGAACTCCCTGCCATGCACATCGACTCTTCCGACGGCGCCGAAATGTTGTTGGGCGATGAAATCCTAATGAATACTATGTTCCCGAACCCGCTGGTTCCAAACCTTCATGAACTCCCCGCTTGAATCACATTTCGTACGTTGGCATTCTTGACATGAGGTTTTGCTTTCATGTGCGATGTTGCGGCCTACATTGATACGCACGGTGTACGATTTTTAAGCATATTTTAGTGACGCCATTGCTGTTTGCGCCTCTGTGTGTGCGTATGTTTTTGTTTTAGTTTTTTCCCCCCCTGCCGCTGCGGGATAATAAGTCGGTGCAGCCTCACTGTTTGTAGTGAGGTCCCCTAAACGAGCGCCATGTGTCGGAGTGTGTCCCGAACCCAAGGTTCGTCGCAGTGTCACGCCAGTGCGGCGGCAAAGACTTGCGCCGTGCGAGTGGGAATCCGAAAATCCCCCTTCCTCATGGGCATCTTTTATCACCACTCCGGAGCCAACACGTGCAACAATCATGGACGGCCCCTCGCAGGAGGATGCGTGTGCTTTGTGCCAACAGCCACTCCGTGAAGGTGGCTCCTGCAGCGCCCAACATGGTGGTTGCCCTGCAAATGTCGCATGCGTACGCACCTCGCATGCACTGCAGAAACCCACGACAAGGTGAGTCAGCAAATGCGGTCCTATTCCATACGTGTCACCAAGTGGGAATTCGTGGGAAGAGATGCCTGAGCAGCCTGAACACAACATGTTCGAACCCATCAGGGGCGAGGGCCTGATGTAGCAGGCTGACCAGTGGACAAACTGGGCAGGAGCAAAAAGGTGTCTGAAAAAGAATTAGAACCCTCACATGTGCCTGACTTGCACGTCGCCTGGCCTTTGCTGTTCTTTTGCGCGATGCGGGCGCAAGATGCCCTCAGGGTGCTGCCACCGCATTGGACTGCAGTGTTCGCCCTCGCACATGACCGTTCTGTCCTAACCTGCCGTGCGGCACTCCTCCGTGTTATTCCGTGTTGGCTCGTGTTACAGAATGGAGGGCTCGGACTGCGAAGCGCGACCGCGCATGCCCCAACAGCATGTTTTGCGTCATGGGCCGACAGCCTGCTAGCCGTAGCCGCGCGCAACCCCGGAGCGGCATCAATCTGAGTCACTCCCGGCAAGGGCCCGGTGGGTGTGCCAACTTGGCAGCCCACACTGCCGCAATCGGACATGGATGGTCTGCGCATCAGCTCCGGAGCGGTTGCCCGTTTCGACTGGCAGCAGCTCGGGTAGGTGGGCACAGCAACCTCATATCATTACCCTGCTTGCAGGAAAAAAAGTTGTGCAGATCAACGCAAAGGCGCGCGCTACCCGGAGCTGTGCTGAGGGGAGCGCAACGTCTGTGCATTTTGGACCTTTTTGCAACCGTTCTGCGCGGTCCCAGTGCACAAGCTTGCCGCGGTCCAGAGAGCTGTCGGCAGCGCTGCTCTGAGCGCGTGGGCCATGCCCAGCTTGCCAGCACATGGGGACGCCGACGTGCGCAATCCCTGTGACCGGTGACATTTTTTCCCCCATAACCAGGGCTGTAAAAAAAAACTTAATTGTAAACATTGAAAATGGAGGCCTCCATTGGCTAAGTAAGTTTGTGCGGACTCTGGGATGATCCGAGTGTTACGATGCCCGACCCCACGATTGCTGTGCTATGTTGTTTTCCATTTTTTCTTGGGATCAGCGGGTCCAAATGCGATGACACCTACGAGGATCGCGATCCCAACCCCCTTGATCCGTAAGGGATAGTCAACCGTAAAAACACGAATGCTGGGATCAGTTTCCTCCAACCCCCAAACTAGCCCTTGGTTAGGTGGGAATGAAGACCATTATAATTTAGCATAATGGATTATGTCGGAATTACTACAGGGATCCTTCCAAACGCCAGCAAAGAGTTCGGTTGGAGGTGTGCAAACCCCTTTTGCTGTTTGCGGCCTCTGTGTCCCGGTGGGTGATTTGAAAAAAAAAAAAACTGCTCCACGCTGACGCATGTGCCACACATGGGGATTTGGCGATTCCTGCAACCAGCCCATAAAACAAGTTGCTCTAGCGCAGGTGGCGTGGCCAGTAGCAGCTGCCACAATGCACCTTACACCCTGGTCCAAAAGGTGGGTTGCATTGGCCATCATGGGGAGGATTGAAGTTGTCGCTGGTCACAGGGGACCTGCTTGCAGTAACGCATCACTTGCTGCGCGCTCCCTGGGTGGGGCCCTTATCAGTTTGGGGCAACTGCCACCTTACTGGTCTTGCGTTCTGGCCATTGCTGCCTGGGTTGGGAGTGTTCTGGCTCCGGGATTGCCTTGCGGTACCCCCAGCTTCAACTTGAAGCCTTGGCGACGACCGTCATCTCTTCGATTCTCTTGGCATGTTGACCTTGCGTGTGCTGCCAGGGCCCAACAATGGGAAATCCCATCAACGCATACCACCATGTTACGGCATGGAATAATGAGCACATACAAGACTGCATCCCAAGTAAGTTCCCTCATTGCGTTCGAGACATGACTGTGGAAGGGCCCCAAGCTGAACAATGGAAACTCGTTCACTGGACACAGTTTTGCCCATGACTCGCCGCAGTGTGAGGGGCAATGAAAACAGAGCAGAACACGCAACAAAAACCTAAACATGCGGGCTGTGCCAGTTCATCGCAGTCCCGAATTCTTTCTTCTAAACAATGAAGGAACATCTCGGATAAACTGTTTTGGAAGGAATGGTGATATTGATGCTACACAGCCCTGCACGTCATCACACATCACTCCTGGACCTAGCAACAACTCCAAGTTTGAAGTGCAAAAACTGGCGCAGTCCTTGTGAGGTTCCTTTGCATCATACATCAGGTGATATCATCGCTGCGCCTGATGTGAAGCACTGGCCGACTTGGTATTCCACGGTGTTCGTCATCAATTGTTTTAGTTCTGCTACTTGGCAAGGTTCAAAGTGCTTTGGTCATGCGGGAGGGAGATGTCACGTTGGTTGTACACCACACAGTGTTTCAGCCATCAAGTACGTATGACGCATGATTGGCATGAGGTTGGCTACCTTTTGTTTTCACTTTGGTTCGCGATGCATTGCGCCGTGACTTGCCAGGACTGCTGCGATTGTTTTGCACAGTGTTTTGAGTGTGAAATAGTATTGGGACATATTGTGACTTGTTTGGCAGCTGCCTTTTTCATGCAGTCGCTGGGAACCAGAATGCGGATCAATTTCGCGAGGCGCGATGCAAGTACACTTCGATATTAGTGCCAAGCGCATGCAGCAGGCGGTTTCTCCTCGCTAGGAACCGCAGCCCCATAGGTCTATTCAGGAGACGTGCCAAGCTGGCTGGAATTACAGGAGGGTATTGAAATCAGAGCCTTGCCAAATTCAGTGGAGGGCCTGGGCCATAGTTATTTCCCCGTTAACAAATTCCGTGCCGCTAAGAGGCCAGCCGATATGGCCAATATGTCCAAGAAGATGTGAGGCGTGGTCTGATGCCCCAAGCCCAGCCCCAGGTCTGAGCCCTAAATCTTTGTCAAGGGTCTCGTGATGCGTCTGTGGTTCCTCAAAACTAATCATCTAGCCTAGGTGACTGTATAGCATTGTGGTCCGTAGTTTCAATTTCAGGTACAAGGCCGCACAAGCTGGTATGTACTTGCAGCAGCCCATGCATCCGAGTCGGTTGCCATCCTTTTGCTGTGTTTTGGTTTCCTTGGCCTGCCAAGCAGTGCCGAAGACCTTCAGCTGCCCGGCAAGACGCGGCAGAGGCGAAGCGTGCCAAGGATCCGTGAATGTGGTGCCGGAGCCACGCTTGTTTGCCAGCGAACCCCATCCCAGGTGGTTCGGGAATCCAGGAAATCCTTTGCCTGGAACTTTTGAATCCAAAGGGTGGTCAAATCAAAACTGGTTGAAGTCAAGGTTCCATTTCAGGTTTGCGGAGTACAGCCATGGCCCAGGCCAATTCGGTGTGCTGAAGGTCATGAATGATGACTTGGTACAACCGCGTCGCGGGTTTGGAGCCCACCCACATCGGGACATGGAAATCGTGACCTTTGTTGTGCAGGGTTCCCTGACCCACCAGGATTCCACAGGAATAGAGGAGACCATTGGACGTGGCGGCATTCAATACATGACAGCTGGGACTGGAGTTGTGCATTCGGAGCGCAACTTGCAGGATCACCCGCTGCGTTTCATTCAAAGCTGGATTGTGCCACGGGAACGAGGACAACGTCCAAATTATGGTTCCATGCATGGAGGTGCTACGGCAAACAAGAGCAGGTTGAATACATGGTTCCATGCAGCATCCGATGTTGCCAGACCACAGCCGACGCCAGTGAAGCTCAACCAGGACAGCAGTGCCAGCATTGCGCATATTCGAGCATGTGGCAAGTTGTCGAAACCAAGACGTTAAACGACACACATCCCATGGAAATGATGCAGGCGTCATCCGGGCAAAGCCAAGCCAGAAATGGAGGCAGAGAACGACAGAGACTGACAGGGAGACACGGAAGCCTGTTCAGGCGCTTTTCTTTGTTGCGCCATGGGCAACAACAAGGGTATGAAATCAAAGCGCTTGAGTGGAGTTGATCAGGACGAAGAAGGGTAATTAGGAGTACTGGACCAGCACAGTGGGCAGAAACTTCCAGCGCAATGTTTGTCTTCGCGTGAAAAATTTGCAGAGTGTTGACAAAAGGTTGCATATGCTGCAAGAAGACCAACAACAGAGGAGAGATATCCGTGTCCGGCTTATTGTTGGGTGTAGTCTGGCCAGCCCGTCCTCGATTCCTCCTGGGATGTCAAGTCGAGCATGCCGCGAACCATTCTACTTGCAATGAACTCACGGGTTTCCGGTAGCTCGAACGCTGTACCCTCGGCTCAAGGGTCCAATTTCAAGTTCGGGGAACCCGCAGAACCTTGATCACCATCTGAAATGAAGACAAAGATATCGGCCTGCTCAAGGATCACAAGACGAACTCCCAGTAACTCCTTCTTCAGGCAAGCCTCAAAGAGTTTGCTCCCATCACCATGTTACTTGCAAGAGTATTCTCCAAGAGTTTTAAGCATGTCACCCCCAAGATTTCTCCTGCCTTGCAATCTTACTTGACAGTATCCTCGGGCTCCGCGGGATATCAGATGATGATATGTGCAAATGGGGGCTGGGTGCTGCACCCCGACTCACTGCCCCACATGTGCCAGCCTCTACCTGCAAACAGTCTTAATTGCCCTGCCAAACCTTCTTGTCAAAAAATCTGTGCCACCAAACCTTTTTCAGAAAAAAAGGCTTTGCAGGCTCTTTGTTGCAACTATAGGGTCGAGGAGAGGGGAACCACAAGAGCATGCACACACCAATTCTGCAGGCCAGGGATGAACAAGAAACAAAACATGAGTTCCAGAGCTTTGCATCGCACCAGCGCAGGGGCACAGGCGTCATGATTCGGAGTGAGGAGGAAATGACAAAGGTGTCCGTACGATGTGTAAACGAATGACCTGCCAGGACTGCAATGTGTATGTCATCGAGCTGTCACGAAGCAAAATTGGACCTCCTCTCACCATCGAGCTTGGCCGACAAGCGTATTTGTTGTGCGTTGAAGGGGATGTACTGTTGGCGGATGGTGACGGGCAGAGGCATAGCCTTCACCAACACGATGGGGCAGAGCTGAAAGGGCCGCTGCTGGTAGAACCTTCTGCAGGTGCAGAAGGATCCCTTGTGCTTGTATTTGAGATGCAGATCTCAGAAGATACTCGGGGTGAGTTTTGAAGATGCCACATGCGCATTGTCAAGCCAAAGGCAAAGGCCCTGGATATATGATGGGCTGTGCCATGGTCATGCACATGCGTCAAATGATGCAGGTGCACTTAACACACGCATTCGCGTGGCGAAGACCTGACGTGTGCAAAAGAAACAGTCAGTTCCTGGGGCGAGTATTTACCACTACCTCGCAGCCTCGTGCGAGCCGGGTTTTCTCAGCGCCTTGCGCTAGGCTGTCCTTGCCAACAAACAAAGACATCTCGCAGCTGAAGGTTCACTCGTGTTGGTTCCGACCCGTCGGAAAAGCTGTTCATATCGTGCACCCCAGCCGGTCAGCAAGCCGAATTGAACCATGTTCGAAGGTGCCGTTCTTCATCCCTGGAGGTGTCCCGGTGCTCAGACGACTTTTTGTTTTTTGTGCAGTATACAAGCAGCAAAGCCTGCAGCGCCTAGAGCGCCTGTATCGGACAGATCTTGAGTCAAAGCGATGTCAATCTTCGAGGCTTTGGAGAAATTGCACAAACAGATGTTCGAGGGCGATGGTGAGGGCGCAGAGGCGACATGTGTCTAAGATATTGCTAGCGTCACGCTGCAAGCCGCCATGCGTTGCAAGACTTCGCACGCTTCATATATTGCTTTAGGATGCAGAAAACACCGTGACTCGCCAAGCCACGGCCTCGGCAACAAATCGCACTTGGATAGCGTTTCCGACACAATCCAGCTGTTCACATTTTCTGCTGCGCCAGGTGTTGCTGGAGGAACTCAAGAGAGAAGAGCTGGAGGTCATGGGATTGCATAGCAGGTCTGTCCTGTAAGAAGAACTAGGCACAGGCTTTCGACGGCAAACCTGGCAGAATTCACAGGGCCTTCTCCCTATATTGATTCTGGTGAGGCAGACGCCAGCACCACTCCCGTTGAGAAGTGTCAGCGGATGGCAACATTCAATCACTGGAGGGAAGAAGAGTACAACGAGAAGGACGCACAAAGAGAGTTAACAGTCTTGTGCGCATGAGATCGGACAAGCTGTGAAAGTTTTTCAAGACTGCGATTCACTTGCGTATAGCCATACAGCCCACAATGTCAAGCTACCTAGTCCTATGATGATTTCACTGCAGGATGAGGACGACGAGGACTTCGAGAAGCATTTGCGACGGTGGCTGTACGACCGCGGTCAGCTCGCTGGCTAAAGCTTTTCAGAGAGCCAGCCATTTGTGCAACGCACATGGCAGTCACATGGCATCATGTAATGACGATTCTTTTGTTGCTCATCCAGGTGGCTCAGCGCAGATGCATATGCTCGAGCTTGCATGGTGGCTGCTTGTCTCATGATCGGGCTTCAATAGGTGGATGAACCCTCAAAAGGGCAGGTTACGTCTTACGCAACGAAACTCAGGTTGGGATGAACCAGCTGCTTCAAGCTTTGACGTACCATGTCGTCACTGGCCGAGATGATGCTGCGTTTGACAGTGAAGCGACAGTTATGCAAGCGTTTTTTGTTCAGACACCTTTCCAATCTTGTGCCAGGCCAACACAAATTGCAGCTAATTGTTCATTGCGACCGCAGGGGGGGAACATCAAAGGCGTCCGTCCCACTTGCCGCACTAGCCCCACTTGACCCACTTGCCCCACCTGCCCCACTTACTTGCCCCGCTTGCCCCACTTGACCCGCTTAAGTGGGGCGAGTGGGCAAGTGGGGCAGGGGTTCGGGTTTTGGGGCAGGGGAGAAGTGGGGCAAATTGGGGCAAGTGGGTCGAGTGGGGCGAGTGGGCCGCGGACCCTTAAGACACTTTCTAATTGTTTTTAATAGCCTGCGCCTACACTGCACTGAGCGCATCCTGAAGTAGAGAGACCGTATGTGTACCCTTGCTAGGAGGGAACAAGATTCTTTGAGGGGGCCACAGTGTTGCCAACACTTTGGGGTCTAGATTGTATCCAGACAGCAACAATGAGCGGGATTGTCAGGTCGCCACAGTGTGGAAGGTGTCAGCACTGACGGCTGTCGCTTGCCATTTGGCTTCATTTGGAGAGTTGAATGTTTCCAGCGGCAGCTGTTCTACAACGGAGGGTTGGAAGGGTTTGTGTCCAGAACTCTTTTGCCGGGTAACTTTTTGGAACAAATGACTTTCCTTGATCAGATCTGTCATGGATGATCCCCGGAAAGTGTCTCTCAAGAGTGTATCGCAGAGCTTGTAGAGGGATTTTGTGTAGCGGGCATGTTGAAACTATAGGGCGGCCAGACAGGGGTTTGGCCAGAGTTGCTATGGACCGTTCAATGTGCATTCCGCAATTTCCAAACCTGAAGTCACATTCTTTTCTTGACGGCGGCCTGAGTGTACACCAGGTAGAATCATACGGCTACTAGGGCTCAAAACAGCATCGCATCGCCAAAGACGTGTTAAAGTTGCGTCTACATGGCGTTTGTGTTCCTAAGCCATGAGGGCTGAATCCGTGACAGGTGTCTACAAAGCATCTACGTGGTGTTGGGGTTGCCAAAGAAATTTCTTAAACATCTTAAAGCATGAGAGCTAGATCCGTGACAGGTTTCAACAAGCTGTTTGCATGGTGTTGTGGGCTGCTGAGGTACTGCGAATGTGCTTCAATCGATAAAACAACTCGAAAGTGTACTGGGAGCATGCATTCGTGGCAAGTACACCCGTACGCTACTGCATTTTCGCAGATATCCTGAACAGCCTGTCAGAGGCCTTCTGTTGGCGAAGGCCTTGTCGGTGCGGATCTCAGTGTGGCCAGACCCCAACTAATTAGCATGGTGTCATTTCGGTGAGATTCCCGCTCAGATGCTGGCATGGGCAAGCAGGACTCCGAATTAAATAGTAAGATTGGAGACAGCTTCAGCGGAATCATCCGACTCATGTTCCAAAGCAAGCAGCAACATGCATGCAGCCGCTTAGCTTGTTCATGCTTAGTTGCGGGCAGGATTCTGGACAACAGATACATGAATCCCATGCCCCATTCCAGCCATGTAAGACGCTACAGAGCCAAGTACTCGACCTCTTGAAGCAGCGTTGCCCCTATGATCATAATTATATTGATAATACCAATGTTAATATTAGTACTAACAGTTTAACTCCACTAGCATCATGCGCCCTCTGCCCAGTTGTTCATACTTCAAGTCGACCTCGGAGTGCGCAGATATTCTTGTCTTGGCAACTATGCTGAAGTAACACTGGGATAGCCGAGGGTGTTTCTACGTCCTTTTCAGGAGCTAAGGTATGCAAGGTTGGGGGTCACGGATGAGGTGCTTCCGGGGCAAGTAGACAAATAGACCTGCTAACTGTGGCCTCGTCGAGTGGCATGGTCATGCTCAGCATTATCAAATTTGACCAGTGACGTTGATTGGCTGATTCGCAAACCAGATGCGGATGCGCGTTTGCCTGTCAACCCATTCCTTCATTCTAATTTTTGTGTTTCGTGATAGCGAACAGATACAAATGGACTGCAAATTTGGCAGCAGGTAGATGCCAAGAGACAAACCCAAGCATGGTGCTGTGCTGTGCTCGTGCCCCCAGGTTGCACAATGCTGATGTTGCAACTTGTCTGCAAGCATTCGCAAAAGCATGCCAATCTACAATTCAAAATTGATGGCGTGAACCTGATCAAAAATCATTTGAGGCTAGAGGTGCTTCCACCAGCGTATTCCACGCAGCTTGGCTCAACCGAGCTGACAGTTTGACCATCGTAAGCAGCCCACGGCCCTAGCACAACGTAACCGAAAAGATATCTTCTGCCAGGCTCTATTTGTTCGTGTACATACCCGGTATTGATTGGCCTGGTTGGGTCCACGGACAGCAGACTTGCATGGTGCATGCTGTGGCCAAAGCTTGACTGCTTGCCAAATCCACAAACCAAAGCTTTTTTTCCGGCATTGCTTGCTCTTTCAAGATATTTGTACTGACATGATACTGCTGAAATGCAGGAGCGGCTGCCCTGCCGGTGTTCTTCATGCATGCGCTTTGGATGGCCTACATGCTGGGAGCTTAGACACCTCTTGTAACATCAATAAAGGCCATTTTCACACACACGCATGAATTGCTAGAAATTCACACGAAGCATGCTATAATGGGAAGAGATGTTGTCTTTTAACAGCCAGAGTTGCCGTGTGCACCTTGTAACCCACATCAAGCAATTACTGCGTCTGTTCAGCGAACACTGTGTGCAGGGCTTCCCAGCTCGCCCCTCTCAACGAGTGTGGCGGCCGCTTGGTCTCAGTTGGAAGCTGGCAACAGCCGAAGCTAAAGCTGACAGAAAATGGATTTGGGAATCGAAAGCCGAAACGTTTCGGATAGGCTCAAGGACTCCCAGGTGTTCTGATCATATTAGGCTCAAAAAGATGAGTCAACGTGAGTCATGGCTGAGACTCAGAGACATAAACGCAGACTCACATTGATAAGCATGCGTTCAAGACTCCTAAGGTGAGCTCGATATACCAGACTCGGACTCCGACTCAAGCGGATCTTCGGAGGATTCAAACCTACGGAGGTGCACTGTCATTGCCCTGCTGAGCTTGTTGCCTTGAAGGCATCTGCTATTAGCATCGACATGACTGCAGGCAGCAAAGTCAACTGCGTGGCGGATTTTTTGGAACCGAGTACCTGCCCACTCGGTTCCTTGGCATTCACTGGCGGCAGCCGTGCGGACTCGCTCATTGGGACTGCAAGGCTTGTATGAAACCAAAAGCGTGGGTAACAGAGAGAAGCTGCAAGCAGTCAGGTTATAGGCAGCGGCGGTTCTACCTTGAGTCCCAGGCAGTCAAAATTTTGCTTTTGTCTGCCGCTCAGGCTGAAGGACAACCGGCTATTTAACATCATCAAGCGCCATGGCAGCAGGGCTATCCATTCCAATGCTTTTTTCCACAGTGCCTTCGTAATATCTGCTTGCGGCCCTCCACTCCGACCTGCAGAAACTGCTCCCCAGACCCTACCTATATACAGTGAATGAACACGCTTGGTCTATCGTCTTCTTGTTGCCTGCCGGGGTGTGAGCATGACAGC